AAGAAGAAGAAGAAGAAGAAGAAGAAGAAGAAGAAGAAGAAGAAGAAGAAGAAAAAGAAGAAGAAGAAGAAGAAGATATTACCTACTACCCTACTGCGCTCTATTAAATAGATTTTTAACAGTTGCGATAAGCCTTTTGATTTCAACTAAATCACAGAATATCCATAGTATGTGTCACGACACTGTGGAATCAGGCACTCGTTGATTTTTTGGGGCACGTAGCTTCTGAAAGCGTGTTCATTTGCCTTACTTTCGACTGAAAAGAAATAGTATCTAAGTATCTTGAATAGAAAACAAAATAAATGCAATGGGCCATAGGCACATAAAGGCCTGTAAATTCTACGTGCCCGGCAGCGAAGAGCTAAGCCATTAATTTTCAGCACATTATAACTTCTTTCAATTTTCTTAGACTCAAGCCTACTTAATAGTGCTGATTTTCCGCCTTTTCAACTTCCATATAATCATTAAGTAGGTAAAATTTATTTAAAGAGTTTTGATTTCACTGGGACATTTTCTTGCCTCAGCATGTATTCATGTATTTATTGTTTATTGATTTATTTATTCATGTATGTGTTGTTTATTACTCAGCCTTCTACTAAAATCATTTCATCTCATTATGAAAACATTTTAGTAACCACTGCCAAAGGCCTTCTCACCTCGCGATGGGAACCTATCACTCACCCTCCTTCTATTAAAAGCCTTCACGATCCCCATCTCCTGCAGATCCTGACTCAAATCGAGAACTTCGCTCTCGATATTGAATTTCGGCAAGACGACCTTGACAGATTCAGGGGTCAAATCGGAGAGCAGCACTTCCAACGGGTTTTGCCCTGGGTCCTCTGATCCGGTGACAAACTCCATAAGCTCGGCTATGCTGGAGGAGTTGTGAGGCAGCATGATGTACATGGCTAGCCTGTCTCCTTTGTATGGCAGCTCCACGACCTCCATATTCTGTCTGCTGGCGTACCTGAGGACCCACAAGACGAGTCGTAGAAATAATTGTTCTTTATGTGTTTTTTGTTCTGAGAATTATATATAATAGTTCGCCGCTATCAACACGGTTTTGAAGTTTTGGAGAATCTCATTTTATACACTGCCTGCCAGAGAGAGAAAGAGAGAGTGAGAAAAAGGGTGGATGGATACATACATACATACATGCATACACACACACACACACACACACACAAACACATACACACAAACACACACACGCACGCACGCACGCACGCACGCACG